AAAATATAGCAAGAGAAAGTGGACTTTTATCTCAACAGGATACAGTTGTTTTCATTTGAAAATAAGTAAATTGGTGATTTATAGATTTTTGAGTGTTCTGAAGTAAGCCCATTGTGAAAGTGATGTGAACCAAAAAGAAAAAAGCTACCAGTAAGTGTCTCAACATCATGATCAATATTGTCACAATAAAATGAACGTTAAGACATAACTTTTAATAGATATACTAAAAAAAATGAAAATATATAAAAGATAAAAACAAAAAGCACAAGGCTAAATCTATGTCCTGTAATCTGGCTCAGGCACTACACCCTCCAATAAAAAAAATGTAGCAAGAAGAGTGTCAGTAAGAAAAAATAGGATACTTTATAATTCAAAATATGACACTTGTTATAGAAAATGTAACTGAAATGATAGAGGGGAGTGCAGAGTGCATCTATCCTATAGACTCTACTGCAGCAAAGAGTCTACTGGATACTGGAGAAATGCCTCTTGTGCTCCAGTAGTTACTAGATAACACACCAGTGTGGTTGCAAACCTACTGCACTAGTAGTAAAGAGACAAAACATTGCCTGTGATCAGGAGGTATAGGAGACAGTGGACAGCTAGGATTTGTTGGTAGCAATCAAAAAGTATAGAAAGTATAATAGTCCTAACGCTGGCTTTTGGTAAATAATCTAAGTGCCTTTGAGGGCACCCCTTATTAAATGCCATTGTGAAAGTGACTCCACAAGCATGATGTACTGTTATTCAAACCCACCCCTATAGCTAACCTTTTAAAAGAGTCAGTCAGGCCAGAACATGAGGTTTATGGTGCCGTACGAAACAATGATCCTAAAGCTGTAAAGTTTGCCACTAAATAGTTTTGGTGCATTGCCAAGCAAATTGCAAACTATAGGTCAGAAAATACCAGCTGGAAACAATTCTCATCCGCCCTCGCCACATAACACGTAGTTTGATAAATATTAGCCCTATGTTATTTGTATGCTGTAATGATTAATGCCAATCATTCTTACTTCAGCTCTTCCATTTCAATGACACAATTTGATGACCTATTTAATATTCTCATAAATCATCTTTGACCACCAGTTTTCATTACATATTTGTAATTTTGGGGTTTTTAGAATGCTATTTTAGGTTTAATTGGACAATTAAGTTCCAAAAAACTTTAGCTTAATGAAGCCATTTTGGTATATAGATTTGCCATTGCAGTCTCAGTGCTCAGTTCTCTGCCATTTAGGAATTAAATCACTTTGTTTTTGCAGTCCTAGTTACACTTCCCCTTGCTCGCACATCTTACCTACACACTTCCTGAAAAAGAGGCTACATTTTTTACAATCGATTATTGCATAGTATCATTACTTTACAATGTTTTATCTTGTGCTCTTTTAATAGCATGCTAGACCTTATAACAGCCCCCTGTGTGTGATTAAAGTTTAGTTAACTGACCTTCTAAAGTTAACACACTGTGCTGAAAGATCTGATTGCAAATCACATTTGTGAGAATCAGTCAGGGGAGGTGTGGCTAGGGCTGCATAAACAGAAACAAAAGTAATTCAACTTCTAAATGGGGAGGTAGGAAGAATCCCTCATGCTGCCACTCCTGTATTATCCTTTTTTTCCCCCCCTCCCCTCTCCCCTCCCTTCCTCCTTAGGGTCAGTAAGTCTAGGTATAGGGAGAGATATGGGTTTCACCCCGAGTGTCCGATGCCCCCCCCACGACCCCTCCCCCCCTCGCCCTACCGATTCCTAGATACAAATGCAAACCATGGTCGCCACAGCTCTGCGTGCCTATCCCCTCTGCTTGCATCGCCTCCGCCCCCTGAATGCTCTCCACTCTGCGAATCCATTCTTCTGTGCCGGGGATCTCTGTTTTTTTCCAGTATAGAGGTATCAGAGCTCTAGCTGCGTTGAGTAGATGGCGTAGGATCGACTTTTTATATCCTGCGATCGACATCTGTGAGATATGTAGGAGTGCTAGGGCTGCTGTCCAGGTGGGTATTTCTCCCAGGACTTCAGTTATGTTTTGTCTTATCAGTTCCCAGTATGGAGCAAGGGAGCTGCATTCCCACCAGATGTGTATCATCGTGCCCCTCTCTGCCTGGCACCTCCAACATATTGGAGGTGTTGACGGGAATATCTTATGTAGCAGTGCTTGGGTCCGGTACCACAGTGCAATGATTTTATAGTTAGTTTCCTGGTAGAGTGAGCTGATGGAGCTCTTGTGTTGCCAGAGTAAAGTGCTCTCCCATTGCGAGGATGTAAAAGTGGTGTCGAGCATAGTCTCCCATTGTCTGTGAAAGGTATTATTTTCCGTGAGGTGTCCAACTAAGAGGTGTTGGTAATGCGTGGATATTGCTGTTTCTATAGGGGAGCCCTTTTCACACAATGTTTCAAACCACGATAGGGCTCTATGTAGGCAGTCTTTATCGTGCATGCTATTGTAAAAGTGTTTCACTTGCATATATCGGAATACTGTTAAAGGGCTCTGGGGCATGCCCCCTAGTAAGGAGTCCAGGGTCCGTATATCGCCGTTCTGTAGTATCCTGGAGATGGGAACATATTCACATCCCCCTCCAAAGGGCCACTTTGTTGATGTAAGTCCCCCCCCTATCGCGTCATTATAAGTGACAGACAACAGTGGGCTCGGTGTGGGCGAGATGTGCACCTGTTCCCTCATGAGTCTCCAGCTGGTGAGCGTTTGTGCCAGTATTCCCTCCCTTCCCCCGTCAATATTCGATTTTGCCCGTTTCCCCCACACAGCAGCCTGTAGGTGCGCCCCTTGTCCTTCTTGTGTCAGGGTCACCCATTGTTTTCGCTGCTGTGGGTCTGCATGCCATTCTAGGATGCATTGGAGGACAGTGGCTTAATGGTATCATTTAAAATCGGGTAATGCCAGACCTCCTCTATGCCGTGGTAAACATAGGAGATCATGACGGAGTCTTGAGCGTTCACCTCTCCAAATGTAGCGGATGACTGCTGATTTCAATGTGGCAAAGAAGGGTGAGGTTATGGCCATAGGGGTCGTCTGGAATGGATATAGGAGTCTGGGTAGGATGTTCATTTTAAGAACTGCAATTCTTCCATGCCATGAGACATGTGGATATGCCCATTTGTTTAAGTCCACCAGTATTGTCTTCAGTAGCGGTGCGAAATTTTGTGAATACAGGTCGCTCGGGTCATTCGTTATCCATACCCCGAGATATTTCATTTTACATGAGCACCATTGGAAGGGGAACAGAGATTCCAGTGCTGCGTATTCTTCCTCCAGGAGAGTGACGTTTAGCACTTCATATTTGGACAGGTTAAGTTTAAAACCCGATATCTTGCCGAATTGTTCAGTTACCGTCAGGATGTTGGGCATCGTGATTCTGGGGTTGGTGACAAAAAACATGAGGTCATCCGTGTATGCGGCCACTTTATGCTCCGTTCCCTGCCAGGAGAAACCCTGAATGTCTGGGTGTTGTCTGATCGTCTGTAGCAGTGGTCCCAGGGACATGGCAAACAGCAGTGGCGACAATGAGCAGCCCTGCCTCGTGCCGTTGGAAATCTCAAAATTAGCAGTGAGTGCTCCATTTACCCTCACCGCAGCCTGTGGTTTATTATAAAGCGCGTGAATCCGTGTGAGGAGCCTGGATCCCATCCCCATGTTGCCTAGAGTAGCGACCATGTAAGGCCATTTCACCCGGGCAAAGGCCTTTTCAGCGTCCGTGGAGAGTGGGAGAAGTTGTTTTCGCATTTTTCTCGCTCTGTGTTGTATTGCAAACAGCCGCAGGGTACTATCTCGTGCTTCCCGTCCGGGTATAAACCCTGTTTGGTCCGCATGAATCAGTGATGGTAGGGCCTTTTGGAGCCTAGTCGCCAGGACTTTATTGAACAGTTTAGTGTCCACGTTTAGCAGGGATATTGGGCGGTAGCTGCTACACGCCGTTGGGTCTTCGGCCACCGCATTAATGGCTTTCGTCAGCCATGGCAACAGTATTGATGAAAAGGTTTTATAATATCCTGATGAGAAGCTGTCTGGACCTTGGGCTTTTCCCGTTTTAGTAGATTTCAGACCTGCCTGAATGTCCTCTGCTGTAATCATGGCGTCCAGCTCCTCTGCCGCGTCTGGGCATATTACTTTCGTCATAGTGTCTCTTAAGTATTCCTGCGCTCTGATAGATTCGGCGTCCCTGTCCTCCCATCTGTCTCGTTCCTGTAGATTGTAGAGTGATTGGTAGTAGCGTCCGAATTCTTCAGCTATTTTGTCTGGGAATGCCGTCAGGGCGCCTGATGAGAGGCGCAGAGTGCGGACCTGCGTGCGAAGGGTATTGTCTTTCAAGAGCCATGCTAGGTATCTGCCCCCTTTGTTGGCATGTGTGTAGAAGAACCCTTTGGAGTGTTGTAAAGATTGTAGGTGGCGTTTTGTGAGGAGATCTCTCAGTTGGCGTCTGGCTTGCATTAATTCTCCATACGTTTCCATCAGCTGGGATCTCTTGTGTTGCTGTTCCAATGTCGTGATGGATTTATAGAGCTCCGCCATTTCTCGAGTAGCTACCTTTTTCTTTTTGGAGGCTATTCGAATGAGTGTGCCCCTGATGACGCATTTCTGGGCTTCCCATACAGAGACCGGTTAGGCATTCGGTGTGTTGTTTTCCTGAAAGTAGTGTTCCAGGTCTTCGGTTACTTGCCTACGGGCCTCAGGGTCGAGAAGGAGGGCTTCATTGAGTCTCCAAGTCCACGTGCAGGGCCGGAAGAGTGGTGATTCAAGCTCGATGATAACGGAGCCGTGGTCCGACTACGTCGCTGGGTCAAGTTTGGCAGAGAGTAGTCGCGTTAATCCTATTTGTCGTATAAAGATATAGTCAATACGTGAGTATCTATTATGCAGTGCAGGGTAGTAGGTGTTGTCCCTAGTGGTGGGATGAAGGGTCCTCCAGCAATCCACAAGGTCCTCCTTATGGAGCGTATATTGAGTTGAGTGATGCTACTGTGGCCTGTCGACGAGTCTATGATGGGGTTCAAGGGTGCGTTGAGGTCCCCCCGAGGATTAGTGTGCCCTCGGAGAAGCCTTTCAGTTTGTCTAGCGTAACCCTAAGGAACTGAGCTTGTCTTTTATTGGGTGTGTAGATATTAGCGAGTGTGTAGAGCATACCCGCAATTGTCCCTTTCAGGAATAGGAAGCGGCCCTGGTCGTCCCATAATCTGTCCAGCAGTTGGAATTCTAGGTCTCCAGCGATTAAAGTGGCAACACTGGCCCTCCGGGTCGTAGGATGATCGCAAAAGTGGTTGATCGGGTAGTATTTATTCTGTAGTTTGGGTGCAGCGTCCTTTCGGAAATGTGTTTCCTGTAGTAGTGCGATTGATATGTGTCTTTTCCTCATCTCTAGCAACATGTGGGTTCTCCGTTCAGGTATATTTAGGCCTCTGCAATTGAGGGTGAGAACAGTCAGGGGTGCGGGGTGATACGCTCCCGTGGCTCCGGGTTCATTGCTGCCGATCATTGTTTGGTTTCCACCCCCCCCGCCATCAGCTCGCGTTAGGGACCCGGACCCCCGGTGCGCACCCCAGGCAGAAGAACAGCAGTGAGGCTGAGTAGGTAGAGGGGTAAGATAGGTACGAGTGAGTAAGAGAGTGTAAGGGAAAGTTAGAGTGAGAAAAGAGAGAGAAACAGTCACCCGATTAGTCGAGCACTGCAACCAAGACAATAGATATCTGTCGGTCCACCCCTGGTAGAGAGGTGATTCGTGCTACGGTCGTCAACTCTTGGCCTCGACTAAGTGAATGAAAGTGTGTGTCTCGTTCGGAGAGCTCGCGTCTGCCGCGTCCCGTAGTTGCTAACATTCAGGGTTAATGTAAAAGATCCATTTCAAACATTTGGCAAATAACCATAAGTAACAGTGTAACAAATTGAGTGCAGTTTTGGTAAATCAGGCCAGGAGTATCTGCGTGTCTGTCCCGGCCCTTCGGCAGGCAGGTGTGAGACAGATCGTCTCCTGTGGCTCGACTTTCGATCCCCTACACAGGTCCCCCCCGTTCCTTTCCGCAAAGCAGCCCATTGTTCCCCATATGCATGCTAAGCGAGATGCTGCCGCTCCTAGCCATCCGTCTAGCATCTTTTCCGCCCCCCTCCAGTGCGTTACCCCAGTAGCTCTCGGGCTACAGAGAAAATTAACAGTCGTAGCTCATTTCTGGGCCTCTTAAGTTTGCACAAGGGGCTATTATCGGGGCGGGTGGTACCCCAAATGTCAGTGATGTGTTCCCCAGCGCCATTCAGCTGTCTAGAGCCCATCCACCCTGTATCTCTGCCCGTCCCCTAGATACGTGCAGGGCCGGCGCTACCTGTAAGGCGGACTAGGCAGCCGCCTAGGGTGCCCCTTGGAAAGGGGTGCCACCAGGAGCGCCGGCCCCCCCATGCTGCAGCCGCCCGAGCGCTCTGTAGAGAGCCTCAGGCGGCTGCAGCTTTTCCCGGGCGGTGCGTCCATGAGGGTGGACCGCACCGCCCGGGCGCAGCCTGAGGAGAGGGGCTGACAGGAGGGAAGCGCTCCTGTCACTCCCTCAGTGGCAGCAGTATAGTCCGCGGGTACAGGGAGCACTGTCTCCTGTACCCGGCCGGACTAACAGGAAGTGCACACTGAGTGTTCACTTCCTGTTAGTCCGGCGGACTATACTGGGCTTGGCCACGCTATAACACAGAGGGAGGGAGGGGGAAGAAAGAGGGAGGGAGGGGGGAGAAGGAAACGGAGGGGAAAGAAAGAAACAGGGAGGGAGGGACTATACTGGGCTCGGCCACGCTACAACACAGGTAGGGGAGGAGGGGGAAGAAAGAGGGAGGGGGGAGAAGGAAACAGGGAGGGAGGGGAAAGAAAGAAACAGGGAGGGAGGGGTAGAAAGAAACAGGGAGGGAGGGGAAAGAAAGAAACAGGGAGGGAGGGGTAGAAAGAAACAGGGAGGGAGGGGAAAGAAAGAAACAGGGAGGGGGAAGAAAGAGGGAGGG